CTTATCAGCAGATGCACTCAGAAATTATTAACTAATCAGATTGCAGTAACTGAGCCTGATTAAAAAAGGAGATATCACTATAACATTAAAAGAAATATACAACTCATATTTAATAATTAGACATCTTATCTAATTGTTAAATATGACTCAAAAACTCATTAACAATTCATGAGGAAAACACAAAGAAAAATCATAAGCGTGTCGTATCTTTGCATGCGACAGAGATTTCCCTTGATTTACATAAACTTTAACTTTGATTTCCTCGACTTACACAACGTATTTTTTGAAAATTACTTCGCCAATGAACTTACTAGACCGATCGTTTTTGAAGCAATTTAAAACATTGGCAGTGTGTGTTTTATCAGAGCTAAAGATACTCGGCTTCGCCTCGTGTATTTATATCTGCTAAAACACTGCTGCTCATGTTAAACAGTACTTAAAAAATACGTTTCTACAAAAAATACATGTCAACTAAACATTTCAAAACTGGCAAAGTAAAAACGTCTTTAGCATTAGCCACTTACCAGTATTGAGCCAAATTTTTACACTTTTTATGTCAAACACCTTGGCCGAGCGTTTGTCCGCCCAGCAAACTGCACGGGATTTATCGTTGTAGAATCTTTGAAGGTCACTAAGCTTCCAGAAGTGGCGGTGCCCACAACGGTCTGAATCACACTGGATCTCATGATGACGAGAACACTTTCTTTCTTCTTTACCAAAACAGCAGGTACATTCCACTTCGAGGTCATAGCTGGTCATGCTGAATAATAGTTGATCTGGAGATTTAAGGTCGTCCAAGCACTTTTTCAGAGTGGCTAAGACATGACTGGCAAACTTGAAATGGTTGCCATCCTGTTTTGGAAAAACGGCAACCTTAATGAACTCGTGGAGGTCAATTAAACAAACCTCATACACGTCGTTGTCTATAATAAGCGGAAGCAAGGAGTAGTTGCAATAGAAGGAAGGCGTGGCTTGTTGATTGGGGAAGCGCTTTCTCCACTCAGAAATGAACCTCACTTGAAGCTTCGTAAACAGGCCCATCGGTACATGTTTGCGAGGAAATGTCACAAACAGCGATGGAACATTGCTAGCTTCCAACTCTTTTCCTGGTATCATAGCTGGGGCAACTGAAGGGACATAAAAAGCTGCCTTTCCATCGTGCTGGCAAGAACAAATCAAATTAAACTTTTGCATCAGCTCTTCCAAAAGTTCTGCGTCTTCTAGCGTCTGAAGATATTCTCGAAACAAAATGCCTTTCCGCCATAACATATCACGAGGGTGCCTGGCCAACGCATCCAATTTGCCAGGCATGGAGATCACTTTCGTAAAGCGATTCATTAACCAGTGAGGATCTAATACAACCTTTCTGGATCCACTGTGGTGTACGACCACACCTTGGCGGTGAAGAAATTTAATAGCATGATCAAACTCCCCAACGCCACAGGCCTCCGCTTCCTGCTTAGCTTCGTCAACTGGGATATACTTGCAATCTGGTGATAGCTTCAGGCTTAGAGCAACTTCAAAATCTAGCCACTTCACAGGCATTAAAATCTCCTGGTTAAGAACAGCATTCGAGAGGTCAAAAAGCTTTCTACGAAGCTTTTGCACGTCGTCTCCATCGTCGCCTTCCAATGTATTGTCGATCAGGAAAAACTCTGGGAAGACATTCGCATATTTTCCTCCAGACAAGACCTCGTTGATTCTATTTTGTACGCAATCTATTTTGCCGTCGTTGCCTTTCACCTTATCACTTTTAGTTAAGGCTATTAAAACTGGTGGAAGTTTAAAGTTCTCACCTTTTGCAGTGGTAAAGTCACCAGATTTATTAGGAAACTGTTGATCTTGGCATTCTCCTAAACCTTGCAGAAACTTCAACCATGAGGTAAAATTATCTAAATTGGTAGTACGATGAGGATTGGTCATCTCTATCTCTTCCTCTTTCTTACTTGCTTTAAACCTGGGAACGGCGGGATCATCAAACTCCAGAGAAATGTCGTGAACCAAAACATAAGGGCAATGCGGTTTCACAAAGCAGCCATGGGTATCGTAATAGATTGACTGTCCAGCAAAGTCACTTACAAATACCCGAAGAACTTCGTTCTGGTCGTATCTAGTGGTCAAAATATTAGCCTGCAATTTGATTTCCGAGATTTCTTTTGTTGATAATGGCTTTAATGGTTCTGGCGCATCCCCTTCTAAATTCCTCTGAATTCCTCCATCTAGGTACTCGGCAGTTTTTTTGTATAACACAGTCTTTGCCTCGCTTTCACTGGTCATAAACTTCTTCACTTCTGTCATTTTCCAGGGATCTTCCGCATTTTGTTCTGTTAGCTCGATAACATTAACGTCAATACCAGTGGTACTGGGTTGATCTTTGTTGAATGGTAATCCTAAAAGACGTCTCATCAGCGAAGTCTTTCCGCCTCGGTCTTGCCCGATCAGCATAATCGGAATTCGATTATTTTTTGCTTCACCTTCATGGAAAGCTTGCGAATATGCACGGCTATATTCTTCCTCTTCAATATCTTGACAAAATAAAGTTAAAACAAGATTTAGCACAACGTAAAATGAAATATAACCTTCTTCGCCCTACCCTAAACGTGTAAAAATTTTTTCTAACTTTTTGAAACAAAAATTACAAATTTTTGCTTAAAACATCACTCTGTATGTTCATTGTGGATTTGTAGTTCCATACCTACTATTCTAAAAGGATTAAGGTCACGTGACCTCTTAGACACCAAGTGTTGCAAAGATATAGGGCTGAATTCTGAAGATTGATGAGAATAGTCATTTGCGGCCGAGTTGCCCCAGTTAGCCGAGGTAGCTCTCTTTGCTGAGACTGTGTTTACACATGATACTTTTGAGGCAGGCTGGCTCACCAAAACAAACCACTGGGCTCACTGCTATAAATAGTATAATATAAATATATTTTCCATAAACCCAAAATTCCACTTTTGCAAGCAACTTTCATGGTTACTGTATAACCCACAGAATCATTCACAGACACCTCTTAAGATCAAAATCTCGCTTAGGCTGGCCAGCTCGGTTTCCATATAAATGTCAAATGAAATGATGTAATAGAACATAATAACAAAAGCAAGATTTCACCCAAACCAGGCCAGCTTGCCCATCTCTCATAAGGGCATTTAATATGTTTTAATCTGATCATGCAGCCAAACACATCTCCAATTACACAGTGCAACTCAAGTTGTAAGCACGTTGCATGCAACAGTTTGAAGCCAAGTTTCCATGTATGGTTGCAACGGTCATAAATCGTCATTTTCAATATAGGAGCAAGCAAATCAATCAATTCTATTTATACAAAACTACAATACAGCACTACTTATACAGTAATATTACATGTAATGAAATGAAAATAATCAATATTACTTTCCCACAGGGCCGCAGAGAGGTTGGTGGGGGCCCAAGGCAAAAATTTTTCTGGACGAGTACGTTGCTATTGCTTTCCAGCAACTTTATCTCATTTTTTTTATGCCAAATTTCGGTACTTAGCCCAAGAAAACAGATATCTTGTCCTTTGCGCAGAAATATTTAACACACAAAAAAGACTGGGACCCAACAAAAATTTTCCAGGGGCCCCCAGGACCTCGGGGCAATTTGCCCCCCCCCCCCTGCGGCCCTGCTTTCCCACTCTGATTGCAGCACAAAGCATCATAAACACATACCATGTTCACTTTCCAGAGCTAAAAACTCGTCATCGCTGTCATCTTTCGCCATTTGTGCAGGCTTTTCCTTCCCAGTTTTCTTAAAAAACATGTTTCATATTATAATTTGATTTAAAAACTCTTTGTTTATGTGTGGCTTTCAAAACACAAACACTAAAGCCCATCTCAGGTCTTATTGAAGTAATGTATATTAGCATTACAAATATCGACAAATGCGAGAAGTATGTGTTCCATAGGTTGCTGTGACATCATAGGTTGCTGTGACATCATAAGAATCCAAAAAATGCGTGGTATTTGTCTTTTTTATGTAGTCTCATAGCTTGGAAAAGTTTTGAAAGCATGCACGTGAAAATCTTTCACACTTGCGTGTGGCGCTCGGGCGTGCATATATAAGTCTACTTGGTCTACTTTAATGATTTTTGAGACGTTCTGTGGTTGAAAATATTTCTTTATCATGAGCTTTCGGCTGCCAAACTGCATCACTGCAGCCTTCAATAGGAATAAAAATAACTTTCACGTTCACACCTGGTATTCGCACGTGCATACTGCATACATTATTATGACAAGGTTGGCAAGATTTTTAACTGCATGAAATTTATTACAACATTTACTACAAGCATATTACAAGCAAAAACAATAAAAAATCTACATCATTTCAAACACTGGTAATTTTACTACATTCTCCCAAAGTTTTAGCTTCAAAAGTTCATTCTAAGGTTGTTAAAAAAGCGAATTCTTTTTGGGTTTTTGACAAAATTTTGTCAAAACTATGCTGGGAACACCTACCCTACGGCTCACGTCGTATTTTTAAATCTTGAAGAAGCGCTGATTGGCTGTTGTACCAGAATAATGCACAACAGCCAATCAGCACTTCTTCAAGATTTATAAAATATGACGTGGTCATAGGGTAGGTGACCCCACCCTCTCTCCTCCGCAGAGGCTTTTAAAGAATATGAATTCGAAGGAATTGAAATTGCGCTAGAAGGTATCTGGTATGAAGACAACCGCTGAAAATCGGCGCGCGGGCGAGGGGAAGGGAAGGAAAAAATAGCGGAAGCCTCTGGCCGATTTATGTCGATATCTGTGACAAATTGGCGATATTTATTTAACTTATATTATTATTATTATTTGCAGCTACAAAGCTGAATTGCTCGGTTTACATTAATGTTCTAGAAATACAGTTTGTAGAATTACAAGTTAAAGACTAATCATTAAGATATGATTATATATTATATAGTTTATTAAGACTTATAGGTATTAAAAGATACTACACTACTTGGTATATAATTATTTTTACAACGGTTGGTACAAGACCAAATGTGTGTAAAATTGTCGTTATTTCTAAGATTGTTAGTACGTTTGTCAGGGAGAAGATCGTACAATTTATGACTTGGTTTAGTCATTCTTTTAAAGTGTGATCTGCAAAGTTCATCTCGTCTTTGTGAAAGACTTGGAAGCGGAATAACTTCCAAGGCCTTCCTGTAAGATAGGTCAGGATAAATTATTCTTAGTGCTCGCTTTTGGACCCGCTCGACGTCATCAGAAAGGTATTGGGAAGCACCAAAGTTCCATAATTGGCAACCGTATTCGAGGACTGATCTTATGCAGGTAGTATAGACGGTTAAAAGGGATGTATGATCAAGTCCAGCTCGTTTTAATATGCGTAAAAAATATGGGCGCTTAGAAGCCTTGGATACAATATAGTTTATGTGTGTGTTCCATTTCAAGTCTGTGGAAATATAAGTGCCTAGGATTTTTGCTGAAGATACAGGAACTAGTTTGTGATTGTTTACGAAGATTGGGTCCAGTTTTGGAGGATCTTTCGCAAACGAGATGATCATATCTTTGCACTTAGATTAATTAAGTTTCATGTCATTCTTTATACACCAGCTGTTTATCGCATTAACAAGGGATTGCATCTTCCCTTGCTCACCTTTATTAATAACTTCAGAGACACTTGTATCATCCACAAATTTCCACCTTCGATCATGCTCAGTAACCAAGTCATTTATCATAATTAAGAAGAGTAAAGGACCGAGCACTGTTCCTTGGGGTACCCCACCGTTTACTGCAGACCAATCTGAAAATACGTTACCCATTTTAA